CGGCTGCGCAGATGCGCAGGGCATTGCCCAAAGGGGTTGTCAGCCACCGGGTTAGGGCGGAGACGCCGCAGCCTTTCCTTTTGCCGTGCTAGCTCTCTTCGGCCATAACGGAGGCAAACAGCCTTGGATCGGACAGGCGCAGCCTCCCCTTCGCCATCGCTACTAGTATACATCCTCATCGCCCGCACCGACGCTAGACGCGACCGCCCGCATTCGGCGAGACTTGCGATGCACCATGGGCCGCACTAGCCACCCCTGAGCGCAATGTTCAAGCAACACATGCGAGTCAATCAGAGAACATGGAAACTCCGTAATCGTGAACATGCGCCGAAAGCAGGGCGGCAAAAGCAACGTGACGCAACTGAATCCCCACGCGTTGTACCTTCTACTGGGACACACTTTTGCTTTTCAACCCTAGGCCGCTTGTACTGCCCCGCGTTGCCCCGCACACATTTGACTTCACGTGTTCGTTTACCGGTCAACTGATACTCCTTTCGCAGATACTCAGGCGGTCGTTTGGGCCTACGCGACCGGCCTGCGGGCAATTCCTCCGACGTCCCCAAAGAAGTCTCCATTCCCGAAAGTCAAACCTAAACAACTTCTGCTACCGCACACCATGTAGTGAAAGTATGCGCATTCCGGCTGCAAGCCTCTCAGTTGCAGGTATGCGCACAGGATGTAACGTCTCAATCGCCAAAGGGCGTGCGCAGGCCGCAATCTCGTCAGCCAATCGTAGACGGTATACTGTTGCATCACCGATCTCAAGACACGCGTGAGCCACTCATTGTATCCTCGCGATCCTACCCATCCACATCACCCACTCAACTGCCTTTGCAAATATGTCTGTCACACAAGCGCGGAGCTGTTTGCATTCGTTACACAATCTACATGAACCCAACGCCCAAATAGACTATATCATGCATAGCTACAAAGTAGGTATCACCTAATCTACTATATCATGAATTGACATAAATTAGGTATCACCTACTCCGGCTACAACAAGCAAACAACTTCACTCCACAATCGCTCCATCTTCACCGCCTCTGGGTCTTCGTCAAACAACGCCCCTCAAATGCATCTCCCAGAGCCACCCCCGTCCTAATACCCTCGTCCGCCACACCACCCATCGCTGCAGCAGCGTCCTCATTGAGTTCATGAGGTGTGCCCCGCCGGCCGTTCCCTCTGCGTCGCCCAAACCCTTCCCCATCCAGCTCAATCACCTCATCTCCTTCCTCCACGGAACATCGGCTGCATCCCCCGCGTCATCGTCTTGCGAGTCGGAGTGCTCATCGCCGTCCCCTGCTATCTCCTCCTTCGTGCAGTCCACTAGTGCCGTCTCCCACTCCTGCCATCGGAACCACTGCCGGCTCCTAACCAGCCGCTTGACAGCTGCCAATGTGTACCCCTCCAGCATACCCTTCTCCTCATCCGTCAGCTCCACTGTGCCTGACACGCGCTTACCATCTTTGACCACGTGCACCGCTGCTGCGTACGCCGTGGTAGCCTCCAGCTCCTTATTGTACGCACCCAGCCTCATCTGCGTCCGCTTCTTATTCTTCTCCCGGAACAGAATCTTGGCGCTCCACCTACCGCGCTTCTCCCTGCGCACACCCTTGTACTGTGAACTACGATCCTGTCCCTTACCCTTGCTCTTGCAAGCAGTAGCGCCGCCATAGCACCTGACGCATGCGGGTCTTCTCGTTTCCTCTTTGCCGGCATAGCCAGCACCACGGCCTTGCTCCACATGCATGAGCCACCGCCGGCTCTGCCTGGCGCGTGACGTGCATACTTCCCTCTGTGCCGTTTATCGACCACCTCAGAGCGGCAGGCACGGGTAGCGCGCAGGGGCTGGGATGAACCACCCCTAGCTCGATTGTGCCACTGCGTGCACTGTCCAGTGCTACGCTCTCAGCAGATCCTCCTTTGGAACGGGGCTGTCGGTAGTGCAAGGCCGCGCTGCTGCACGGGGGTTGGGGGTGGAGGGTGCAGTGGACCGGCTGCCCCCAGGTGTCGCCGCGCCCCCTTCAGAACCTTGCACCTGCAAGACGTGTGCAGCTCCTGCAAGGAGCTGATCGACACTGTAACCCATCGCCGCTCCGACGGCGGTGACTGCTGCTTTCCAGATCGCAAGATCCCTCTTCATGCCGTAGTGCTCCACCTGCATCCGTGTCAGCTTTGTGTTGTGATCCTCCGCTCCAGAATCCACAACGGCTCCATGCTTAGTGACCCTAGCCGCGGGTTGATTAGGTACAACCACACCCATCTTCACCATCGTCGGTATAAGGTTAGAAGCCGCATGCATGCATAGGTCGGCCCGCATGCCCCGCCGGAACTCCGTCGCAGTGATGCCCTCCAGGTATAGGTACGAGCGCAAATTCTTGAAATCAGTATCCACAAGGACTTTCATAAAGTGGCATACAAAAATGCCACAGTCGTGTTTGTTGTCCTGCTGCTGCACCTTATGTTTCTGCACGCACGTTAGAGGCCACAACATGCCGTTATCACACGCTAACATAGTGTGTCAACACATCTCAGTTTGGGGAGCAGGACCCACCTGTCAGAATGTTATAATTGTCTAACCTGCAGTGAGGTACTCTATAGCGAGTACGACCCAATTAGGGTTTCCTATATGTATGCCAACTGCTGCTAGTGCATCCCTCTCTTCTTCATTCCTCATTCTTCACATGCTATTAGAGCATCTACGCTCCTGGCCTGTGGGCCCACCTAACTGCTTCCGCTGCTACTCTGTGTACTACACGCCCCGTGGCGTGCCCCTCGCGAGACCCTTAGTGGCCCCGTCGCCACCCCTCGCGGCCCCGTCGTCACCCTTCTCGGCCCCTCGCGGCCCCTTCGCGGCCTCGTTTCCCCCCCTTTCAGGCCCCTCGCGGCCCCTTCGCGGCCCGTCGCCGCCCTTCCAGGCCCCTCGCGGCCCCTTCGCGGCCTCGTCGCCGCCCCTATCGGCCCCGTCGCCGCCGCCAGCGGCCCCGTCGCCGACCTCTCAGGCCCCTCTCGGCCCCTTCGCGGCCCCGTCGCCGCCCCTATCGGCCCCGTTGCCGCCGCCAGCGGCCCCGTCGCCGACCCTAGTGGCCCCGTCGCCGCCCCTATCGGCCCCGTCGCCGCCGCCAGCGGCCCCGTCGCCGCCCCTAACGGCCCCGTCGCCACCCCTATCGGCCTCGTTGCCGCCGCCAGCGGCCTCGTCGCCGACCCTAGCGGCCCCGTCGCCGCCAGCGGCCCCGTCGCCGGCCTTAGCGGCCCGTCGTCGCCCCTATCGGCCCCGTCGCCGCCTCCAGCGGCCCCGTCGCCGCCACTTGCGGCCCCGTCGCCGCCCCTTTCGGCCCTTCCTCGACCCTGCCCTGGCCCCGCCCCGGCCATGCTTCGTCGCCAGTCGTGGCGCACCGGGGGCACGTGCACCGCCCCCCCCCCCCCCCCCCCCCCCCCCCCCCTTTTCCCGTCACCGGTCGAGGCGACCTGAGGGGCCCGCGTGCGGGAGGGGCGACCTGGGGGAGGGGGGCGCGAGCGCCGCCCCTTCTGCCGCCTGTTTTGGCGCCCTGGGAGGCCGCGCGTCGGCCCTCCCCCCTCCCCCCCCCCCCCCCCGTAACCTCCCTACCCGCCATCCCGCCCTGCCCTGTTTTAGGGTTTGGGTGGGTGGCGAGTAGGGGGTGGCGGGTGTGTGGTCTCCCCTGCTCCTCCTCCTCCTCTGTCTCCCACTGCTGCACCTGCCGCTGAGGGGGGTGGGTGTGTGGGAGTCGATGGAGTGGTGCTAGGGGGTGGGGTGTGAGTGAACCTAGGGGTGCAGTAGGGGGTGTGTGAAATGGGGGTGGGATAATTTGGGGAGGTTGAAGGGGGTGGCCGCCGTGAAGCCCGCAACTCCAGTCGCCCGTGAGACCGTTGCGCCAGTCGCCCGTGAGCCCGTTGCGCCAGTCGCCGTGAGCCCGCTGCTCCAGTCGCCCGTGAGTCCGTTGCTCCTGCCGCTCAGAGTTAGCCGCGGAGCCAGTTACTCCAGTAGCCCGTGTGCCAGTTGCTCCAGTTGCCAGTGTGCCAGTTGCTCAAGTTGCTCGTGTGCCAGTTGCTCCAGTTACGCCGTGTGCCAGTAGCTTCAGCTGCTGCCACTACCTCCTCTCCTCTCATAGTCCCTCCTCCTCCACACTTGCCCTCTGCGATAGCCTCTAGCTTTGCTTACATTTGTGAACTTTAAACTGTTGCTTCTTGTACTTGTGCTCAGAATGTGTGGTGACATTGTGATCCACCCTGAGCTTGTTCTACCTTGCTCATTGTGCTGATTACACCCCACTTTGGCTATGGGGGTGTGTCAGAATGTTATAATTGTCTAGCCTGCAGTGGGGTACTCTATAGCGAGTACAACCCAATTAGGGTTTCCTATATGTATGCCAACTGCTGCTAGTGCATCCCTCTCTTCTTCATTCCTCATTCTTCACACCACCTTCATGGGAAGCGGCTTCGCATCTCTCAATGTGTTCACAAGAGTCGTTGCGTCACACTGAGGGTGTAGGGCCTTGGCGGTTAGTTCCAATAATCTGGAACGCAAGAAATCCGGATGAGTCAGACATTCTCGTAGTGTATTGTCGAATTCACTAACATGGCCACAAAAACATGCAGCAGCTTACCGTTGGACGCCATCAAACACCGTAGGGTCGTCACGGTGCGTGCCATAACTGTCGAGAAGAATCAGTTCCAGAGGTCCAGTCACTTCCTCAGACGTTCCTCCCAGCAGTCGCTTAGGGCACGGAACTATCATAAGCGAGTAGTGTGAGCTGCAACATATCGCATAAACAGGCACGCGCGTCATATTATTGCAGCGGCTCGTGCCACCCTGAATGAAACCAAAGCGTTTCAATCAACAGCACGCACCTCTTGAAGACGGGGAATGGCCAAGAAGTCAACGTCAAAAACTCTGGACCCCGTTGCCCATAGAGTATGGCTTGCGAAAGTGTTCACGTAGTCGGAAAGCCTTGCTGTCTACGCAAGCCCAAGAAGTGCCGTTGGGCGTAGTGGGTTGACGGATGCTTCAGCAGTCTGCGCGCAGTCAGGCGATTGTCCAGTCAGGGAACGGGGGCAATCATGGACACAAGGCAGGCATGACACATCGCCTTAAAAAAACGGACGAAATCGCTCACACGTTGTGGAAGTCCACGATCGCGTCGGTGACACACTTCCCGTCAGCGATGGTTATGATGTCTGACGCCTCCACGACACAACCAACGCCATCCGCGTTGAACAGCGTCATTTGCTCCATCTGTTGTGGTTGCTTGGCAGTCGTAAGCGATAGACCAGATCGTGCGGCTCGGGAAGTTCCGTCTCCGTCTCCAGATTCGTCTAGTACCTGCTGGGCTAGGAGTTTGCTGCCGGCCGAAGTCGATGCCTTCTTTAAGAGCTGTGTTGCTGCTGGTTGATTGCCTCCTTCCGCTACGGAGGGAGCGCGCAATAGCACTGACATCCGTCACGTCTCCGTCGCCCCCTGTGTCGCCCTCCTTAGCCCACCGCGCGTGACCTGCCCTTGTAAGCACACTGCTTGTCGCGGGCGCGCCTACGAGGAGACATGTCTACGATCGTGGGGTCAAGCTCAAGGAAAACTGCGCAAAGGTATTGAGGGCGTATGCGGGAGTGTCTGCCTTATGAAAAGAAGGTTGATTCAACCTCACACTTTCGAGGAGACGTTTTGGCAGGACATCGAGGGTGAGAGGGGGCGTTGATGACGATGTGTGGATCTGAAGTACTTGTGGCGCGAACTCGTAAGTGCATGCCATTTGTCGCGTCACCGTGACATGCACATCATGTCAATGGCATGCACTTCGCGTATTCGTTATGAACGAGGACTATGTACGCACATTGCATTTTGTGCGTGTTCTAGGCTTACGTGATTCCTAGCGAGAGTCATTGACCCGCATGGGATCCGATAACCACAGCCGACATAGCCGAGCGGTGTACTCGATGATTTCAACAAATGACTCGCATATATTAGACAGCATGACCTGTATACAAACAGGTCAAGCGTTTATAACGTGCACACAGTGAGTGCGGATTTCTTTCGCGCAAAGGTATACTAACTCCAATGACCCAAAGTTAGGGTTTTGCGGTGGTATCATGGGTGGCAACATGTGCGGGGGGTGCAGAAAAACGTTTCGTGACGACAACAGGCTGCAGTCGCACTTGGCTAGAAGCGCGGCATGCAGGGAGGCGATTCTCGGTCGTGGTAGAGTCCTCCTCGCAGAGGCATATCTGGAGGCCCGTCAGGCGTTTTTCCGCATCCCTGCCGTACAACCCGCCGCCAACTGCCGCCAGCGCTGGGCACCCACCGAGAGGACGGCGGAGAAGAGACCAGCAGCTCCTACAGCCGCCGAGGTAGAAGCTAGTGATGATGACGACATTCTACCTTGTAGTGAGCAGAGTTCGGGACGGGGAGATCTTTGACACTCTCACCGCAATATATCTGTTCATTAGGGACGCGGACCTCTCGCGGCGCGAGGTCAACCGATTGCTGCATATCTTCAGAAATCCCGCGATTCAACCTGCGTGCATTGCGTCGCTGGCGCAATTTGTTGAAATACATTTCTTATATAAATTGCTTGTAGCAATAGTTAGTGTAGTGTTATATTGTTGGTGGTGCACCTTGCTAACTTTGTTTGCTATATGTACCTTTGAGCCTATAGTGAACACCACCACTTCTCCTTCACAACTCTCTCGACTTCCTCTTGGCCTAGGCTACTAAGCCTAGCCCTACTTAAAACTCAACTACCACTTATGCTCCTATCTTAACATGGCATTAGAGCTTGTTACGTCCTGGACTGTGGGCCCGCCTCACGCTTCCCGCTACTTTTCTTCCGGTCGCGCGCCTCGGGCGCATGGCGATTTTTTGTCCCGCGCACGGCCTGCTCTAAACGCCGCCTGTGCGTCTGCCCCACGTCTGCGCGTGGGCCTGTTCTGCCTGCCCGTACCCTCGCGGCCCCTTTGCGGCCCCGTCGCCGCCCCTTCTCGGCCCCTCGAGGCCCCTTCTCGGCCACGTCGCCGCCACTAGCGGCCCCGTTGCCGCCCCTAGCGGCCCCGTCGCCGCCCTTCGCGGCCCCGTTGTCGCCCCTAGCGGCCCCGTCGCCCCCCTTCTCGGCCCCGTCGTCGCCCTTCTCGGCCCCGTCCCCACCCTTTGTGGCCCAGTCACCTGCTCGTCGCGGCGCATCCCCCCCTGGCCGCCGCCTCTGCCTCCCCTACGCTCGTGCTTGCTTTGCAGCAGCGCGCGGGCCTGCTTTGCAC